TCTGTTTTGAAAAGGCAGCCCAGCCCACAACGGATGAATGATCTGCCAAGGCCGGCGCCCGAGCCCTAAAGCCGAAGGGTCTCCCGGCTGCCCTACAGCCCTGCGGAGAAACATGACTCGTGTGACTCGTGTGGCGGCTTCGATCGCTACTACGAGCCCCCGAAGTGGGGAGGGAGGGGGTTGAGGGTTCGGGATCTGGGGGGGGGAATTCGAGGATTCTGAGAACCACAGAGTGGCGTGTGGTCTGCTGGGGGCCTGACCTCCGACCTCTGACCCCTGGGCTTCTTCCCACCCTCACCCAGCCCCTGGAAATCGCCACGGCGATGTTTGAGCTGCTCCCAACGGGGAGCCCCCACCCCCCCCTCCTCGACGGCGCTGGAGCCTACCCCAGCAAGCAACGGGCACGGGGCAGGCCACACCCTGGACGGGATGCCAGTCCATCGCAGGGCAGACACGCACTCCCACCAGTGACTCCAGAATGATCCCACCAGCCTGTCTCTGGACCGGGGGGTGGGAACCGGAGCACCCAGAGGAAACCCTCATGGACACGGGAGAGAACACGCAGACTCCACACAGACAGCGCCCAGGAATCGAACCCGGGGCCCCAGCGCCGCGAGGCAGCAACGCTAACCTCTCCGCCACTCTTCATCGCCCTCTGCTGGCTAACTCCTTACAGGGGACGCCTCCCTCCGGCAGTGCAGACGAGAGGACCGGGCCACCGTGCACACGTGCACACACACCCCCCCGCATCCCCCCTCCCATCGCCTCAGCGGTTCCCCATTTCAGATCCTCAACTGGAGCTTCCCCAGCGATGACCCGTCCGCGAGCCCAGACCCCACGCGGGCCGGAACCAGGAGGAAACTCGGCCGGAATGCATTTCACACCGGGGGCAGCGGGCAGCTCTTTACACAGAGGGTGGTGGGAGCCTGGAACAAGCCGTGAAGCCGAGGGCGATACCCCCCGGCTCCTCTCACAGCCCAGCTGGATGAGGCCCTTCAGCCACGGGCCGCAGGTGGCGCTTCTTTACACAGAGGGCGGTGGGAGTGTGGAACGAGCAGTCACAGCTGGTCCCGGCCCTTGCTTCTCTCTCGCGAAAAAGCGGGACGAGAAGCTCGGATCAATTCGTGTACTCGCCACCCAACGGTGCTCGACACGCTGAACGCTCAACGCTCGGCTCGACGACCCCTCACCCGCGTCCTGTCTCGGGCCCCCGAGGGCCCTCCGCCAGGCGGGCTCCGAGAGGGGAAACACCGCCTTGACTTTCGCAGAACAAAAACGGAAGTGGCCCCCCCCGGCCGCCGACTTCACACAACGCCACTTCAAAGGAGAGCCGTTCCCCCGCCGGGATCCCCAGTCGGTCGCCCGGCCCGGGTCCGCCCCGCCCCGCCCACCGCCACGAGCGATCGGATCGATGGCCGAGGTCGAGGGGAGCGGGGAGCACCGGAGACGGCTGTTCCGGACGGGGGAAAAGGCCGAAGGGGCTCCCGCCTCCTCCTCTCCCGCTGCCGAACTGCGCTGGCGCCGTGACGAGAGAGAGAGAGAGAGAGACGGGGCTCGGCTCTGACGCAGTCGGCCAGAACGGCATGATGGGCGGGTCCGCGGCTGCAGGGAGGGCATGCTCCGCGCGCGCCCCTCCTTTCACCGAGGGGCGCGGAAAGGCAGCCCCCCCCCCCCCCCACGAGCCGGCGTCCCCAGCCGGCGCGCGGGCCCTGATCGGGCTTCAGGGTGTCAGGGACACCTCGCCACGCGGCCGGGGGCCCGGACTGAAACCGGACCGGCGCGGCTCTCCCACTATCCGGGCGTGTTCAAGAATACCCGGCTTCGGGAACACCACCCCAACACCCACCAACCCACTCCGCCCTCCGTGCAGCAGGGCGCATGCAAGAAGCTTGCCGATCGGAGACCCGTCCGGACTGGAGGATCTCGTCCAGCTGTTTCCTGGAAGAAGCCAGGGTAGCAGTCAAGCCAGGCTTGTTCCACGCTCCCGCCACCCTCTGGGTAAAGAGCTGCCCTCTGTTCACAGCTTTAAACACACTTCCACTTCCTCTGCAGTTTGTCCTCCGTGTTTCACCTGCCCCCTCCGTCACACTTGATATCTGGCTGCTGACTTGAGCCCACAGCGGCGCCGAGCAGCAGAAACCAACAGTGAAAACGCGCCGTCAGCTCTGCTTCTGTGTGCAGGCTGCACCCTGAACGGAACCGCGGGGCTCCCCTCGGGCCGAGACCAGACACGACACACCGGGGAACCAGAACCCAGATCCGCCTGGCCCGCGGGCAGGGAGCGGGCTCTCCGGAGACGAAGGAGAGGAACCTGAGCTGCTCGGAAACGGGAACTCGGCGGATTGAGGAACTGGGCTGCAAATGCCAACAGAACCGACCCCCGCCAGACACCGCCGGGCCTGCCTGGCAACCGGGCCGAGCCGGCGAAACGGTATCTCCCTGTTCTGTTGCAACGCAAGCTGGGCTCGCCGAAGCTGCACTCAAGCCCAGGCAGGAACCAGAACCAGTACCAAGCCGTTTCCAACTACTGTCCGTGCAGAGGTGCGCTGCAACTGGACCGGACCGGGGGACGACCCGGCACACAGGAAACGCCGCCTGATGCCGCTCCGCTGTGTGGGGCCGGGCATCGACGCAACACCTGCCCGGCTGCCTCAGGAGGGGCGCTCGCACCCAGCAGGGAGCCGAACCGGGCCGCTCCAAGCCGAGCGGGCTCGGGGCGAGCCGGGCCTGGCCGGACGCACGCACCCAGGGCACCGACCGCAGAGCACAGGAACTGAACCGCCCGAGCCAGTTAGGAAGCTGACGGCATCGCCCCCGCCCCCCTCCCCTCCCCCTTAAGCACCCCAGAACGGCAGGGGCCCCCCCCCAGACAGGCGCAGGCGGCACCCCGACTTACGTGGCATGATTCCCTGGCTGACCAGCTCCTCCCGGGTCCGGCGCTGCTGGAGCTTGAGCTGCAGGACTGCATGAGGAGGGGAGAGAGAGAGAGAGGAAGAGGGTGAGCCGGCGCGAACGGCATCCGCGGGGCGCCCCTCGATCCGCCCGCCTTCCTGCGCCCCGCTTTCTGGCCGTGCGGAGCAGGAGGGGCAGGTGGGGCTTCGGACTGAGAACGCAGCAGCGGGCGAGCAGTGGCCACCCGAAGTCGGCCTCCTGTCCGCTCCGCTCCCGAGACGACAAGGAGAGCAACAGCCGAGGGGCGGCGACAGTCGGTCGACTTCCTGTTTCTCGGATTTGCTCAACGCTGCTGCTGCTGCTGCTGCTCGTGGGTTTTTCTCTCTCTCCTCCTCCTCCTCTCATTTCTGCACAACCTCGCCACAGGAGGGGGGGGGGGGAGGAAAAAACAGAAAAAAAGAAGAACCACTTCCACGTCGCTCAAAACAGGAAGTCGTGGCAGCCAGGAGTGGGGTTCGGCCCCTGTCTCCCCCCCTCCCCAGTCCTTGATGGTGGGGGAGAGGGGGTGAGGGGTTTGGACAGGGAAAGGGGGTCCGAGCCGCGGCACCGGGAGAAAAAGGGGGTCACCTTCAGGATTCGGTTGGTCTTTTAAAGGGGTTGCGGCCTTGCAGGAAGCAGTAAATCCGAAACCGCCAACTGCTCTGCTGCACGGCCGCCGGCGAGGAGCACCTGACGCGACAGAGTCGGGAAGAGGCTCAGGGGGAAGGAGGAGAGGGCCCTGCGGCTCCGCAGGACCAGGGCTGAGAAGCACGGCCCCCAGGCGCTAAAAACAGGAAACCCAGGGACCCGCGGCTTCAATAACGCTGAAAGAACGAAAGAAACCTAATCCAGGCATCCACCCGGGGTAGTTCAGAACTCGAAGGGTGGAAACGAGGGGCAGCTGGCAGGACCGATCCCCCCCCCGACCACCTGGCCTAGAACTTTCTGCCACTTCCTGGACACTAAATGCTGGGACACCGCTGCCAGGAGGAAGTGGCACGGGCTGGGGGAAGTCATTTAGCGCGACGCAACCTTCTGAAGCCCGGTGGGCAGAGCTGCAAGGGGAGCAGATAATCCCCCACCGCTGAGACAACGGGTCAGAACCGCTACCTGAGAGCTGGCCAAGCCACAGGGGGGCGGGGGGGGGGATGGATCGGAACTGGCGGACGAGAGCAAGACGAAAGCGCACAGAGGAGGAAACCCAGAGAGGCTTCTGCTGTGATAAACAGAGAGGCTCGAAGTGCACCCACTCCCTCTGCGCCTGCCCGAGGGGTCTTTTTTTTCCATTTTATTTTGCTGCTGCTGCTGTTGTTGTTGTTGTTGTTTTTCTGCTGCTGGGTGTCAGAGATTGCAGGGCGATAACAGCCTGGAGCTCCGTGCCGAGTGAAGAGAGAGCCCACAGGTCTGACAGCACAAGCTCACTGGGACTGCAAGCACAGCTCTGCGCACCCACCCAGCTCCCCCCGATCGCCCCCCAAACCGACACCCCACCTCACCCAGAACCCCTCTTGATCACCCCCCAAATGCTGATCATGACCGGACAAGCGCTGGGTATGCCGGCGCAGTTCCAGGCACAGATAAAGTCTCTATTCCGGGAAAAAAAACATGGGGATCTCTCCCTGGCTCTGCCTCCACCCCCCACCCCCCTCACTGCCCGAAACCCGACTCCAGGTCTGCCGAAACCCAAGAACCACGAAGCCCTCGCTCCAGAGAGGCAGCAGGGGCCCGCTCAAACACACATTTGAAGAAACCTCAGGTTACACCTTAACCAGCTGTTTGAATCATTTCCTCTTAGCTAAGCTTTAAAAAATAGACAAGAACCCCCCCCCCCGCAAAGAGAGATGCGGCGAGTTATCTTATCGAAAGATTAAGACGCAAAATGGCAACAAGGCCCAGAACCCATCTGTGCTTCCTCCCGAGCGGAGCACAGCTGCCAGCATCTCCACCGCCCTGCTAGGTTTGTCCCTCTTGAGATACCGTAGGCTGAACCCAAAAGACTAGAGGAAGTGGGGACAGTCGCGCTGAGGCCGGACCTTGATACCAGAAACGCCACTTGTTGACAAAGCGATGCTCGTGCGAGTCTCTGGAAAGGACCTAACTCGCGATCGTCTGTTCCCCCCAGTGGGTAGAAGGGAAAGGACGCACGACAAGCACACGGCACAAACCGACACCGCGTCTCAACACTGCCTCCACTGAGCACGCGCAGCGCGAGCCCCACCTTCCCGCAGGCTGGGGTAGGTGTGTCTGCCGTAGCCCAATCGCCTCTGCCGCTTCTCCGGGGCGCCCCCGATGGGTGGAGGAGCCCCCAGGGGGGCGGGCTCGATCCGCATCCTGGGACCCGTGTCCAGCATGCCCGGAGCAGGTCGGCCTCACGAGCGGGGTTCACCAGGCGGTCCGGCGACAGGTTCGACTGGAGACGGAAAAGTCTAAACGCAGGTCCGGACCGGCGCACAAGTCATGATCCAGCGTCGACTGCAGACGCACGGATTACAGAAATACAGACAGGGGATAGACTCAGAACAGTCTCCAACTGCTCCTGCTGTGTTCAGATGGCGTCCCGGGCGGCGTTCAGGTCCTGGACCACTCGGCCTCTTGGGGTCACGGGGTCACAGGGTCACAGGGTCACGCGGGGTCCGTTTGGGTCCCACACACGAAGCCACCCTTCAGCGTCGATACAAGGCTCCGCCGCAGGATCGGGGGAAAATGGGCGACAGGGGCAAGAGCCACCCCCCTCGTAGGGCACGGGCGTCTCTCTCAATCCAGACCAGGGGCACGCCGGCTGGGGGGGGTCCGTGGTGTGCCCTGGCGACACCCGTCCTCCCTCCGGCCAGCCTCGCCCCCCCACCGCCTCTGGGTGGGCAGGCCCTGCTCTCTCCGCTTCAGGGAACGGCCGACGGGACTTCCAGGGAAGACTCGGATATCTGCAAGCACTCGAGGAGATCCTGGCTCCGCTCCGGCAGTGGGGGCAGGTCCCAGCCGGGCTGACGGACTTGACTGATTGATCGATCGATCGATCGATGGATGAAAGAATTCCTCACGGCGCCAAACGGGAAAACACGCTTTCGTGCGGACAGTGCATTCCACAAATCCCACCTCCTCGAGACGCCCGGAAGCAAGGAAAAAAAAGAAGAGAGGAATCCAGGCGCAGCGCAGGGGCGACAGCTGCCAGCACAGAAATAACAAGATCTCGGACGCCAGGCTGTTCAGCGACAGCACCTGCCGAGTCCAGGAGGAGGAACAGACGAGGTCCTGGTCCGCCGAGGTCCGGGGAGCCCCGCCACGGGCCGGTTCCGATCCCGCCGGAGCAACGGAGCGGGGCAGCAGGGCAGGGCAGGGCAGGCTGGCACCGAGGCAGGAGCGCGCACGCCGAGACCGAGCCGGGTGGGCGTGGGGGCCACAGCTGCTGCGACACGCGATCCCCGCGCGGGAGAGGTCGGAGCAGGGCACGCCCCCCAAACCTGGGGGTGGCCCAGCAGGGCCTGGCGAGACTCCTGCTCCGCTCCTCTCCAGGTTTTCCCTCCGCGGCACGCGCCCCTGCTGGGGCAGCCTGGACACCGGCTCTTCGCCGCCACGAACCGGTGCGGACCGAGGCGCGGGCGAGAGGGCGAGAGGGCGAGAGGCTTCACCTCCCGGGGACGAAAGAGAGGCTGGCGTTCGACTTCTACAGCAGAGACGGGACCGCCAGGCGGGCGGGCGGGCGGGCGGGCAGGGGGGCCGTGCTGACCACTCCCAGCTGCGTCCTCTCTCTTTACTGCCCTGCCAGCGTCCCGGAGGAGGACAGCGGACCAGTGAGCCCTCTGACATGGGGGGCGAGGCCACGACTCGCTGGTCAGATCCACACGGAACGCGGCAGGAACCCTGCTCCTCCTCCTCCTCCTCCTCCTCCTCTGGGGGGCGCCGTAACCCAGAGGCCGTCCGGGGGGTTAACGAGTCTCAAGCTGAGCTCCCCCTGAATGCCGAAGCCCCCCCCCACCCGACTGCAGATGGGCTCACAGTTTTAAATAGCAAAGCCAGCTGGCCCCGCTGTCTATATCGAGCTCGGTGTCAACTGTACAAGCACGGGCTCGGGTTACTCACAGATATTCCTGCCTGCAGGCAAACACGCCTCCCTCCCCCCTCCTCCCGCGGTCTGCTCTGACCTCGCACCCCCGCGCCCCAGCTCCCCCTCGCACAAACAAACCCACCCAAAACCCCTCTTCAAACTTCCCCACACACTGACGCACCTCAGCCAGAACCCCCTCTTGATCACCCCCCAAACTGACACCCCACCTCAGCCAGAACCCCCTCTTGATCACCCCCCAAACTGACACCCCACCTCAGCCAGAACCCCCTCTTGATCTCCTGAGGTCGGTGTTGACCTCGAACCCCCGTGCCCCGTCTCCCCCTGGCACATCAGACTGACGTGCTGAGGTCCAAACGGACCGTTCAAAAGGGTCAGACGGGTCAGGCTACTCTCCGGGTCCCTCAGTACCACAGACCCCAGCCGCTCAGAACACGAGTGACATACCTGCACGATCGCCGTCACTTAATCTAAGCCCTTCTACGTTTTTCTGGGGACAGACTCCCTGAACAGATCTTTAGGACCCCTAGGGTGCCCCTGATGCCCGATTCTGAACCCCTGCCCCACACCCCACCTATTAATGCAAACCTCAGGCCCGTGTGCAGCTGTAGCAGGATCCCTGGCGAGATTCCTGCTTTCTAAAGCCAGCAGCTCGACCTCTCTGACGCATTTACCCCTCCGCCAGGATTTGCCGAGCACGTCACCCACTGAGCACGAGACGGGTTTTCAGCCACTTTCTCTAGTTTCAGCTACAGCAGGGATCCCCAGTCCCGCCAGTCAGTGCATCTACAGCAGGGGCCTCAGTGAAAGGTTGAATTGTTAACTGTAAACATCCTCTAACCTATTCACCCTGGCTTTTCAGAAATCTGTTTGGGATTTTATTTACATACAGCACAACCAGTTAGGACATGAGGGTCACGACCCAACGACGCACCCTTCTCGTAAACTGCCAGCCTACCATGTTCTAAACCAGTAGCTCCTACCACTTTTGCAGTTCTTGTGCTGAGCACCAGAGAGCACCCCTGAGCATCAGACAGCAGACTCTTTGCTAAGCCCTCCAAGGGGAGAGTTAGAGAGGCCCCTCTGTCCTGCGCTGAAAGTCAGGGGGCTGGAGTTCCCAAACAAATACCCCAGTATGAGATGGAGACGCTGTGCAGCAGCTGGAGCTGTCCCTATGGTGACCTGTAGAACCATGGGCCTGACTTCTTGGCTGTTAAAGACACCAGGGCACTGTGTGTAAGAGCAGGGGTGTTCAGGTGGGGCTGCAGGTGCAGAATGGCCACTGTGCGTCTCCCAGCTTGCAATTCAATACACTCCATCGCAACCTGACAGCACTTCACATGCACAGAGGAGATGATTCACTTCATCCTCTCCCGATGTCCAGCTCTATCTCAACCAAACCACCTCCTAACGCACAGTGTCCCCAGTCACCATACCGGGCTGTGGGCTTGGGGCTTCTGGCTCAGAGTGCCACCTGCTGGTCCCTCAGTACTGCAGCAGCAGTAGTACGCAAAGGAACAAGTAATAGGTTTATTCCATGCTGGGAAAAAAAGAAGAAAGAGAACAACGTTTCAGCCGTGGAGCCCTCTTCAGGTTCTTCACCTGAAGAGGGCTCCACGGCCAAAACGTTGTTCTCTTTCTTCTTTTTTTCCCGGCATGGAATAAACCTCTTACTTGTTGCTTTGCAGCCTACGCATGCTGACGCAGCTCCCCACCTGCAGTAGTAGGATGGTTGTACACAGTTATAGCTGGTGTGACTAAAATTAGTCATTCAGATGGCCTGCCCTGGGGATGCCTCCATAGGTCACAACTCACACCAGCTGCGCTGTGCTTTTCCTGGGGTCTTGCTCCTGGCCGGGGGGCGTGGCTGAGGTTTTATTCACAGACCCCCCCCCCCCCCCCAGGGCACCCTGACTGCCCCCGAGCAATACAGAAGGCGCCAGCCTGCGCTGCTCTCGCTGAGGAATTCGCAGACAGCGCCTCGACCTGTCTCAACAGAGCAGGGCCGCCCCAGCCCACCGAGCTGTTTCGACACGATTGCGACAGATCCCTCGCACACCTCCCCAGCAGCCCCAGCCACACCAGACTGCTCCTGGAGTACCCACACTGCCCCCCCTGGGAAACATCCCCTCCCATCAGCCCTCCACCTCCTCGGCCGCGCCAGTCAGCTGCAGCGCGTCTCCTGCACACCCCTGTGCAGCCTGCTTGGTGCAACTA